TGGGTAACTGGAGGTAAATAATATACAAACATGCTGCTGTTTGAGACTGATGTAGAGATACAGGAACTCCTGCAGGCAGCACACTAGTCTCACATCTAATCTAACCTGTCCAAATAGATTTACACAGGAATGGAATGTGAGTAGGTAAGTGCATGGCATATGCAATAGGCTACCTATCACAACAAGATCACAGTCACTTTTGTTATATTACTCCCATGTACAGCATATAGCCTGCTGCCAGATAGCAAACTAATCTTTCTCTATCCGTTTATGTAGAAATTAACTAAAGGCTTGATTCAATCTGTAGAACTGAAATTCTGCGTTACAGCGTGATTGAAATGTAGCCTAAAGGCAATGTTCCTGCGTTCGAAGACACTGCATTCACGGTAAACTCTGCATACCTCGGCTCAATCGGAAATTACCTTTACATTTCAAGCACGCTATAACTCTGAACTTCAGCGATACAGATTGAATCAAGCCCTAAACTATTTTGATATATTGACAGACAAGATCAGGTACAGTCACTAGCTTCCTCTGAAGTTCTCCAAACTCCATATCTCTGGAATCACTACTTGACTTCTATCCAGTGATGCAGTGAGATGACCACAGACTGAGAGATCCACAGTTCAGATACAGAGTTCAGTGGCCTGTGGCGACATCTAGCGGTGACAACACAAAACTACCAGTCCCCATTCATTATGATTCACTCCTAAATGAGGTTTTAACAAAATGCCATCGATTTCATGTAGTTTTCTAGTCAAAAGGCTACAGTCAATAATAAATAATGAAAACAGTACTTGATAACTACGCTGCATGTGGCACCATTGGCATGTGGCGCCATTGAAAACTACCATTTGGATTCATGGTTCTCTGAGCTGGATTTGGGATCGTTACAGATGGCCTTGCTGCCTGCTGACCCTAATCCTCCTAATGACCTCACAGCCAGTCAGCAGGCAACTAAAACCTACTTGCCCTGCCTTTTACTGTAGTGTCATCCCATCCCCTACCTTCAGTCCAGTGCTATACACAGCACAACAACAGCCTTTCCTCATGGGCTCTCGCAGGGAAGAAATTATTCGGCAAAAATTCAAGCAAGAGGAATTTGCCAAACCTGTAAGTATTATAGCTGTATATCATCATCACCTACTTATCCCCTTCTTAGTTGTGTTGTATCTTATTGGGTATATACAGTATCTCACAAAAGTGAGTAAACCCCTCACATTTTTGTAAATATTTGAGTATATATTTTCATGTGACAACACTGAAGAAATGACACTTTGCTACAATGTAAAGTAGTGAGTGTACAGCTTGTATAACAGTGTAAATTTGCTGTCCCCTCAAAATAACACAACACACAGCCATTCATGTCTAAACCGCTGGCAACAAAAGTAAGTACACCCCTAAGTGAAAATGTCAAAATTGGGCCCAAAGTGCCAATATTTTGTGTGGCCACCATCATTTTCCAGTACTGCCTTAACCCTCTTGGGCATGGAGTTCACCAGAGCTTCACAGGTTGCCACTGGAGTCCTCTTACACTCCTCCATGACGACATCACGGAGCTGGTGGATGTTAGAGACCTTGCACTCCTCCACCTTCCGTTTGAGGATGCCCCACAGATGCTCAATAGGGTTTAGGTCTGGAGACATGCTTGGCCAGTCCATCACCTTTACCCTCAGCTTCTTTAGCAAGGCAGTGGTCGTCTTGGAGGTGTGTTTGGGGTCGTTATCATGTTGGAATACTGCCCTGCGACCCAGTCTCCGAAGGGAGGGGATCATGCTCTGCTTCAGTATGTGACAGTACATGTTGGCATTCATGGTTCTCTCAATGAACTGTAGCTCCCCAGTGCCGGCAGCACTCATGCAGCCCCAGACCATGACACTCCTACCACCATGCTTGACTGTAGGCAAGACACACTTGTCTTTGTACTCCTCACCTGGTTGCCGCCACACACGCTTGACACCATCTGAACCAAATAAGTTTATCTTGGTCTCATCAGACCACAGGACATGGTTCCAGTAATCCATGTCCTTAGTCTGCTTGTCTTCAGCAAACTGTTTGCGGGCTTTCTTGTGCATCATCTTTAGAAGAGGCTTCCTTCTGGGACGACAGCCATGCAGACCAATTTGATGCAGTGTGTGGCGTATGGTCTGAGCACTGACAGGCTGACCCCCCACCCCTTCAACCTCTGCAGCAATGCTGGCAGCACTCATACGTCTATTTCCCAAAGACAACCTCTGGATATGACGCTGAGCACGTGCACTCAACTTCTTTGGTCGACCATGGCGAGGCCTGTTCTGAGTGGAACCTGTCCTGTTAAACCGCTGTATGGTCTTGGCCACCGTGCTGCAGCTCAGTTTCAGGGTCTTGGCAATCTTCTTATAGCCCAGGCCATCTTTATGTAGAGCAACAATTCTTTTTTTCAGATCCTCAGAGAGTTCTTTGCCATGAGGTGCCATGTTGAACTTCCAGTGACCAGTATGAGGGAGTGTGAGAGCGATGACACCAAATTTAACACACCTGCTCCCAATTCACACCTGAGACCTTGTAACACTAACGAGTCACATGACACCGGGGAGGGAAAATGGCTAATTGGGCCCAATTTTGACATTTTCACTTAGGGGTGTACTCACTTTTGTTGCCAGTGGTTTAGACATTAATGGCTGTGTGTTGAGTTATTTTGAGGGGACAGCAAATTTACACTGTTGTATAAGCTGTACACTCACTACTTTACATTGTAGCAAAGTGTCATTTCTTCAGTGTTGTCATATGAAAAGATATACTCAAATATTTACAAAAATGTGAAGGGTGTACTCACTTTTGTGAGATACTGTATATATACTGAAGAAAAATATAAAACGCAACATATGAAGTGTTGGTCCCATGTTTCATGAGCTGAAAGAAATATCCCAGAAATGTTCCATATGCACAGAAAGTTTATTTCTCTCAAATTTGGTGCACTGGCAATAGGACACACTGTATGATGGCTATTAGTGTACACATGCAGTGAAAATATCTGACATTGCTTGTTACAGTGAGGGAAAACAGTATTTGATCCCCTGCTGATTTTGTACGTTTGCCCACTGACAAAGAAATTATCAGTCTATAATTTTAATGGTAGGTTTATTTGAACAGTGAGAGACAGAATAAAAACCAAAAAATACTGAAAAACGCATGTCAAAAATGTTATAAATTGAGGGAAATAAGTATTTGACCCCCTCTCAATCAGAAAGATTTCTGGCTCCCAGGTGTCTTTTATACAGGTACTTAAAGGGAGTGCTCTTAAAGGGAGTGCTCCTAATCTCAGCTTGTTACCTTTATAAAAGACACCTGTCAACAGAAGCAATCAATCAGATTCCAAACTCTCCACCATGGCCAAGACCAAAGAGCTCTCCAAGGATGTCAGGGACAAGATTGTAGACCTACACAAGGCTGGAATGGGCTACAAGACCATCGCCAAGCAGCTTGGTGAGAAGGTGACAACAGTTGGTGCGATTATTCGCAAATGGAAGAAACACAAAATAACTGTCAATCTCCCACGGCCTGGGGCTCCATGCAAGATCTCACCTTGTGGAGTTGCAATGATCATGAGAACGGTGAGGAATCAGCCCAGAACTACACGGGAGGATCTTGTCAATGATCTCAAAGCAGCTGGGACCATAGTCACCAAGAAAACAATTGGTAACACACTATGCCGTGAAGGACTGAAATCCTGCAGCGCCCGCAAGGTCCCCCTGCTCAAGAAAGCACATATACAGGCCCGTCTGAAGTTTGCCAATGAACATCTGAATGATTCAGAGGAGAACTGGGTGAAAGTGTTGTGGTCAGATGAGACCAAAATGGAGCTCTTTGGCATCAACTCAACTCGCCGTGTTTGGAGGAGGAGGAATGCTGCCTATGACCCCAAGAACACCGTCCCCACCGTCAAACATGGAGGTGGAAACATTATGCTTTGGGGGTGTTTTCTGCTAAGGGGACAGGACAACTTCACCACATCAAAGGGACGATGGACGGGGCCATGTACCGTCAAATCTTGGGTGAGAACCTCCTTCCCTCAGCCAGGGCATTGAAAATGGGTCGTGGATGGGTATTCCAGCATGACAATGACCCAAAACACACAGCTAAGGCAACAAAGGAGTGGCTCAAGAAGAAGCACATTAAAGGTCCTGGAGTGGCCTAGCCAGTCTCCAGACCTTAATCCCATAGAAAATCTGTGGAGGGAGCTGAAGGTTCGAGTTGCCAAACGTCAGCCTCGAAACCTTAATGACTAGGAGAAGATCTGCAAAGAGGAGTGGGACAAAACCCCTCCTGAGATGTGTGCAAACCTGGTGGCCAACTACAAGAAACGTCTGACCTCTGTGATTGCCAACAAGGGTTTTGCCACCAAGTACTAAGTTATGTTTTGCAGAGGGGTCAAACACTTATTTCCCTCATTAAAATGCAGATCAATTTATAACATTTTTGACATGTGTTTTTCTGGATTTTTTTGTTGTTATTCTGTCTCTCACTGTTCAAATAAACCTACCATTACAATTATAGACTGATCATGTCTTTGTCAGTGGGCAAACGTACAAAATCAGCAGGGGATCAAATACTTTTTTTTCCTCACTGTATATGTGGTCTATAACCTTTTCAGGAGAATATGTAGAAGAGGAAGAAATGGTTGGTGATTGCATCAGTTCCTGTAATATACAGTTACACAGGAGAGCTGTGAACTAGCTTTACATGAACTACTGTCATCTTCAGGAAATTGCTATTCTGATTAGTGGAATGTGGAATGTTGGTCTCAACAAGACGTATACAATGAGTTTACATAGCAGACAGTTCAACAATACCTTTAGATTATACAGTATTTAGTATTGACAGGTCTACTTTGTAAGTATTCAATACTTTGCTATAATTTAATCTGAAGGCTTTTCAGTGTTGATTGGCTGTGTTAGATATTTATGTAATGTAAGCGAGTGAGTGATTTTAATTTGTGAGTGATGTGTGTTTTGTCGCAGGGCTTGCCCCGACCAGAAGACCTGCTGACCTCTCAGGCTGGAAATACCATGATGCATCTCACCGGCCAGAACCACCTGCTGGCATCTAAAAATATGTGCGATTCCAAAACACCTGGCCTCCAACTGTCAGCCACACAGGGAGGGGAAGAGGAGGAGGTGGTGGTGATGGTGGGTCGGCTTATGCCAGGGTCCGCCATGCTGCCCACGCCAGGCCAGGAGGGCCCTGCCACCCAGAGGGACTCCTTGCTCCTGGTCGGGTATGTATTATGTACTGTTGGCTCATTTGGCTGAGGCAGCTGTACATATATGTTTTTTTAAATTTGTCAACAAAAATAAACGTGTTAATTAATTAATTGATTTCTTTCTTTCTTTCTTTCTTTCTTTCTTTCTTTCTTTCTTTCTTTCTTTCTTTCTTTCTTTCTTTCTTTCTTTCTTTCTTTCTTTCTTTCTTTCTTTCTTTCTTTCTTTCCTTCAGGTGCAGGTCTCCCCTGCGTGGCTTGTCCCCAGAGAGGGAGAACATGCCCCTGCGGTGGCCTCTGAAGCTGGCCCCTCTGGAGCTGCCCATGGAGGTACAGGAGGCCCAGAGACAGAAGATGAAGGGAATTGGGCTGGAGGCCAAGGCTGCTGCCCATAAACTGGACACTACGGTGGGCGACCAACCCTGCCCCAGGAAGGTGAAGGCCTGTGGTGTGAGAGGAGAGGGACCAGGACTGGTTAAGGGTACGGCAGAGTGTGTCTCCACCTCAGCCCCACATCCCCTGCCTCTGACTGAAACAGCACCCAGAGTCCAGCGACAGCAGAAGGTTCTGAGAGCGCAGCTTGCCCGTGCCAATCCAATCCAGAGACAGACAGGAGACAGGCTCTCAGAAGATTCTGGTACTACCGTTAAAGGCCCTCCTCCTGCCCCTAGCAGCAAACCAGCCACTCCCTCTGCCTCTCTCCCCTCCAGCGCCAAAGCTCAGGCTCAGCAGGCGATAGCACCACATGGCGAGGAGAGCGCATGCCAAGCGACCGGCACATTCCAGCAGGAGACAGGCAGAAGGAGGCTGCGTCTGAAGAGGGCAGAGCGCCTCGAAGAGGATCAGAGCAAATCTAACATGTCAACAGGAGGATTACCTGGGGAAGAGGCCAAGCTGGCCCAAGGTGTCCAGCAGGGAAAAGCTCAGAGGGCAGAGACAGAGAAGGATCTGACAAAATCCTGAAGGAGGCCAGTCGCATACTGGAGAAGGCTTCCAGGAAGAACGCCAGGCCGGAATTACCGGAGAACCCGCTGGAAGTGTCCAGAAAGACCATCAGGAGAATGGCAGTGAGCAACCTCCAGAACACTGTCCTTTGACCTCTGACCCCTGATCTTTGACCTCTTAACCCCTGACTCCTTTTGAGCAGCCCAGGAAGGAGTGAAAACAGACGTGACAGTGTTAAGTTGTGTGTTTACTTGTGCTTATCACCTGGAGATTACTATAGAAAAGCCCCTGCATCTTACTTCACACAGCATCTGGTATTCAAAGCAACAAGCCAGTTACAATGCCAAGTACCCTGGCAGGCAGTATGTACAGTACATAACAGAGGATAAACATAGAAGTATATTATGGACCAAAACATATTTTATAAAAAGATGATGCTGGTAATACATTTAAATGCCAACATGGTCACATTAGAATGTGTAAAAAAAATTGTGACGTTTAACCAGTGTAGATATTCTGACATAGGCTATTCAATCTCATATTTTGGATGAGATATGTCTGCATATTCAGGTGACATAATCATATTTGAGCATCACAATAGCTATGTAAAGCTATGCGAAAATGACCTGCATTCAGGGATTATTATCAAGGTCTCATCAGACGGATACATTGGCTTCATCTATGACCACTGAAACAGCTCCATCTAGTCCAAACAATGGCATTGATTAGTAACAGAACTCACAAACAGAACCGCAGCAGTAATCAGATGTTTACATTGACAACAGCAAATTCATGAGATTTAAAATATGCCATATTTTCTGAAACAGCCACCCCACACTTTGGGTACTGTGTATTTAGGCCTTCAGTTAATTCTATCATCTTCCAGCACCTTAGCTACTTTGTCAGGTGTGCAGTAGATTCCTATTAATATTAATTAATTTAATCTAAGAATAATTTAAAAGTGAAAACTTTTCAGTCTTTAAGCAGTGTTTTTCCTCCTATCAGCATGCATTACAGCTCTCTATGTATTTGGTAACAGAACAAGCCCCATCCCTCACTGTAACAAGTGAAACTCCAGATTCCCCTTCCTCCACTCTGAAAGAATGACTGAAGAACACTCACATAAAAAGGTCTACCTTCTGCCAATTGGAACAGAGGATGCTACTCTAGTCTAGACATCAAAGTTTTGAGGTGACCCATTTCCTTTCAAGTTATTCCCTAAATCTGGATTTAGACATTCCAGACAGTAGTTATGGGAATGTAATTTAGGTAACGTATGTTGACCCTTGACTAAATCAGGTAGTTTATCATAGAGAAAAGAAAAGTCTCCCAAAACATATGTGAGATTTCAAGTTTTCAGGTATGTAAAATCAAATCAAGTTTTATTTGTCACATGCGCCAAATACAACAGGTTTCACCTTCCGTGAAATGCGTACTTACAAGCCCTTATTCAACAATGCAGCAGTCTTATGGCTTAGGGGTAGAAGCTGTTAAGGAGCCTTTTGGACCTAGACTTGGCGCTCCGGTACCGCTTGCCGTGCAGTAGCAGAGAGAACAGTCTATGACTTGGAGGACTGGAGTCTTTGACAATCTTTTGTCAAAATGAACTGACAGTGAGAAAACACATGCAAAACCACATCACAGCCATTCTACGTTGTTTTAAAAACGTCTGATCAAGTGAGTCATATTAGGCAAGTCTCTCATTGACAGACTTGCGACATAAACCCAAAATCAGGATACAGAAGACAACAAGAGGCTTCTAACACACTACTTTCTGCCTTGAGTCACGCTGCATTCTGACAGTGAATTCTTATGGGAACCCTGCGGGAATTGAACCTACGACCATAAGGAGTCAGACGACTCCTCAACCCACAATGAGTCAGTCTGACACCAGTAGCACAGCAACGTCCATCTGCCTCATACCATCAGCCGATCACCAGACTTCCTTAACGTCTCACATCACACCGGGGCTATAGTTAGACTGGCCTGTACTCACTTGCCCTGACTGACTGACTACAGAAGTAACCACAAATAGGATCTCAGAATGTATAGCCGTTATGTCTAATGTATGTACACTACCGTTCAAAAGTTTGGGGTCACTTAGAAATGTCCTTGTTTTTGAAAGAAAAGCAATTATTTTGTCCATTAAAATAACATCAAATTGATCAGAAATACAGTGTAGCCATTGTTAATGTTGTAAATGGCTATTGTAGCTGGAAACAGCTGATTTTTAATGGAATATCTACATAGGCGTACAGAGGCCCATTATCAGCAACCATCAGTCCTGTGTTCCAATGGCACGTTGTGTTTGCTAATCCAAGTTTATAATTTTAAAAGGTTAATTGATCATTAGAAAGCCCTTTTGCAATTATGTTAGCACAGTTGAAAACTGTTGTGCTGATTAAAGAAGCAATAAAACTGGCCTTCTTGAGACTAGTTGAGTATCTGGAGCATCAGCAATTGTGAGTTCGATTACAGGCTCAAAATGGCCAGAAACAAATAACTTTCTTCTGAAACTCGTCAGTATGTTCTTGTTCTGAGAAATTAAGGCTATTCCAAGCGAGAAATCTGAAGATCTCGTACAACGCTGTGTAGTACTCCCTTCACAGAACAGCGCAAACTGGCTCTAACCAGAATAGAAAGAGGAGTGGGAGGCCCCGGTGCACAACTGAGCAAGAGGACAAATACATTAGAGTGTCTAGTTTGAGAAACAGGCACCTCACAGGTCCTCAACTGGCAGCTTCATTAAATAGTACCCACAAAACAACAGTCTCAACGTCAACAGTGAAGAGGCGACTCTGGGATGCTGACCTTCTAGGCAGAGTTGCAAAGAAAAAGCCATATCTCAGACTGCCCATCTTAATCTTTTATTTTTATTAGCCAGTCTGAGATATGGCTTTTTCTTTGCAACTCTGCCTAGAAGGTCAGCATCCCAGAGTGCCTGTTTCTCAAACTAGACACTCTAATGTATTTGTCCTCTTGCTCAGTTGTGCACCGGGGCCTCCCACTCCTCTTTCTATTCTGGTTAGAGCCAGTTTGCGCTGTTCTGTGAAGGGAGTAGTACACAGCGTTGTACGAGATCTTCAGTTTCTTGGCAATTTCTCGCATGGAACAGCCTTCATTTCTCAGAACAAGAATAGACTGACGAGTTTCAGAAGAAAGTTCTTTGTTTCTGGCCATTTTGAGCCTGTAATCGAACCCACAATTGCTGATGCCACAGAAACTCAACTAGTCTCAAGAAGGCCAGTTTTATTGCTTCTTTAATCAGCACAACAGTTTTCAGCTGTTTCCAGCTACAATAGCCATTTACAACATTAACAATGTCTACACTGTATTTCTGATCAATGTCATGTTATTTTAATGGACAAAAAAAATGATTTTCTTTCGAAAACAAGGACATTTCTAAGTGACCCCAAACTTTTGAACGGTAGTGTATTTGTCAATAACGTACAATAATAATACTTTTGGTGGGTGCTTATATTTGTCCTGTATTATACGCATGTGTGAATCGTAAATGTTTTTTTTGCATATCTCAACTCCCCCTGAGCAAACACACAACCAGCACACAACATTGTTTTAACGTTGACTCTGTTGTGTACTTCAGTATACTTACCGGTATCAATCACTTTCCAGTTCAAACACCTCGACCTGAGAGACATGTAAAGCACAGAGGAGAGAGGAGTTCAGAGACAGTTATTGGGGAAAGGGAGACATGCCATTCTGACAGGATATCTGGCAACTTCACTAAGAGAGAGAGGGAAAGAGAGAAACCAAAACACTGGGGAACAATACCACTCCTTCCCCTTTCCTTCCCCCTCCTGCAGGGAACATGGCTGACAAAACGCGATCAAGTAAACATTACTTCTCAATGTGGTTAACAGACATTTTCTTGTTGTTTTAAATAATTGAGCACTTTTCAGAATGTACAATTGCTGTCCAATTCTACTGCATAAGAGACATACAGCACAAGCACAAGGAGAAACACAAGACACATTAAAGCGTCAAGCACACGTGTTCCTTGCTAATCATTTCACTAACTCAAATACACCCTCACCACCATACAGCAAGTTCCCTGATAGAGTAGACCCATCCCACCACGGCCACCACCGGCCCACCACCACAGTCCTCCGCAGGCAGCTAAGGCAGCTCTTTTGTGGCTATATCTGAGACAGGGTTATGGCTGGAGGGTTGGAGTGGTTGAACAGAGGAGGCGGTGGCTGAGAGAGAAGCTGTGTGCCTCATGTCTCTGAGGGCAGCAACACTTCAGATGGGTGCAGTCCAGGCAGCCATAAAGAAAAAAAACTGACTAAAATATACCCAGAAAGTTGGTCTATTATTGGCCAGGCCTGTCAGGGTTTTTTATATCTGTGAGCTGAGCAGCTAGCTAGAGCAGTACAAGCCACCTCGTCCCCTAGTGAAACCCTACACTTTCAACTGCAGTCAGTTCCTCCCTCCCTCCCACTCTGTCCACCCATCCAAGAGGTTGTAGCAGATGCTCACCTCACTTTTGACTTTTTATCAACACTTGGATTGACATTGCGGTGGATTTTAGGATTACATTTCTTCGCACCTGTAAAGGAGGTAACTTGGGGGATTTATCATTGGATAGGGGATGATGCTTTAATGCTGAGCTAAGGGACAAGTGCACATGTGAGACCTGGAGGATAGGAGCCACACAGAGCGAGAAAGAGAGACCTCCAGTGAAACTAAGTGATCTGTAATCCAGGTAGGAGTATCCCTTTCCTGCAGTCAAATGACCTAGTGGCCTCATGGGTGGAACGTTATTAATATTTTTTTTTATAAACATTTACAAAAATTGTAACACTGAAAATCCGGTGTTTCTATGTCAAACAGTTTTGTTATATTTCAGTCTTCTGTGATGTATATAAAGTGTAATATTGGGGGCAAACTCAAAACTGAATACATTTCAACTCTATATCTGACATGTGTTCTTTTTCTTTTAGCTCATAACCATGTGTGTGAGGTATATACTTTTATTTCATAGTAGATTTGTTTAAGACAACCAAGAAACACTCTGTGTGACCCTGATTTAGCCCACTGCAGTAAAAAGTTAAATACGTCTGTCTCATTAAAATTGTTTTATTTCTAGCTATTTAGATTGTTTCTTTGGAGGGTAGTTTTATGTTTTTGTGCATTTGGATTTTTGTGTTTGTGATAAATTTTTTGTGAGAGGAGCTCGGAGGAGCCACATGTTTGATGCTCCATCACGAGTAGATACAGGAGCCATGCCCTTCTCTTATTCATTATCCTTTTGGAGTGGAAAACTGCTGCTGTTTTTTACATCATTCGCTGGATGATGGAAGGCAGGTTTCTGGAATAGACATCTACATTGTAGTCCCTAGTCTGCCATTGAGAGAGGAGATGGAAACACACAGGAACCATGCAAGATACAGACCATAGTTTGTACGGGATAGATCTGGGCTCAGGATTGGGTCTTGGGCTGCTAACTAAGTCACATCACAATGTTTTTATCTGTTTATTTATTGTAATTGTGAAAGTATTTCAAAGTCAACATGTTGAAACTGAGTTGAAAGCTTACGTGATATAGGGAGTTTATGTGGTGACAGCGGGGGACTGTGGTAGTGTAAAAAGCTTTATCTGGTGGGACAAAGTTATGCTAAATGCAAAGTAGCACTAAATTATTTATTTGTTTCATAATTTGATCTCTCTGATGAGCCATCTGTTGAATAGTCATTCAAGATGTAGGCCTATCATATGTATTGCGGGTGGATGGGTGGATAGTTTTTACAAGTCTGAAAAGTTTCCCAGTAGGCTATATGCTTTGAGTGGGCGCTTGAGACATATTTTCATTTTCGTCAGCTTTACATACACACTAATTACAGAAATTGCAGCCATTTCACTAAGTAGGCCTTGAGCTCATTATTAGTGTCAGTAAAACCTAAGAATGTTCCAGGGCATAAATAGCTCTGTGGTATACCAGATAAAGTAAGCTGCTGCCAAACTAACCAGACTACAGGTTTAACCCAAAATCATGGTGATTGCACAGGGTGTTCACATGTTGACCATGCTGCTGGAGGATAATGAACAATCAAGCAAAGTGTAGGACATCACACAATTTTGGCTGTGGGCACTCCCCTATGATGTAACTGTAGAACACAAGACAGGAGAGGAGAAACCATATAAGAACAGAACTTAACTTAGTCAAGTTCTACTAAGTTCCAAGTTCTCAGTAGGAATCACATTCACATAACATATTTTTAAACGGGTTCCACTATTTCACTCCATTTCACTTTACTAAAACATTCACATAGCTGGATTTCTGGATTTCATTATCCTGTCATTGCTATGTACGATCTGTCTAACACTCACTGTTAAAAAAAGGACAAATCAAAGATAAAGCGTTGAAAGTAGAATGGTAAGACATTGCCACATCATCAGACGTCCATACACCAAAGCCACACAAAGCTTTCCCCACACACCACTCGTCTAGCCCTCTGATGACAGTGTAGCATTGGGCCCACAGACTTATTATACTGTATTTGACTCTGATCTTAGTTCACTGCTGCTAAATCACACAGACACTCTTCCCGTAAGGATGACTTAAATATATAGATGAGGTTGATGACAGATGACAGACACAACCTTGTAACCTCTCTATGGTGACACAGTAAGTTCTAGCAGAGTTGGTGTTTGTGTTCTATCAACACCATGTTACTACAAGAGCACTGTCACTGACTTTCACGCCCAGTCACTCTAGTCACTGGGTCAGGTTTCAATTGGCCTTCTCTAAGAGTGTCAACTGACACATTCCTCAATCTACTTCCAGAAGAGATGCATACATTTAGATTTGTTGACTACTACCTCAATGAGTAAATTAGAGTTTAATACGGAATTGTAGCTTTTTGTGAAATCAATATTCCCCAAAGAAAAGCTGTTTATCGGAATCAGAAGACATTTTACATGATATTGCACTCCAATATTCAAGGATAATACTGTGGCTTAGGCAACAGGAAATGTCCAGTAGTATCTCACACCTGTCTGCTTCTTGGTAGTTTGTAATGGTGACCTGTTGATGTCTACAGGTTGGAGACCTTGATGGTGATCACAACCTAAGCTCAAAAGATCAGAGCCTGATATGGAGCTGCGACTGGGATGCAGGGCTTCCCTGGTCCTGATCATACTGGGCCTGACGCTCTCAGGACAGAGGGTTGATGCTCAGAGCAGGGCAGGTAAGGACATCAGCTGTTAATAGCTGATTCAAATAGTATTTGTTTTCTTTCATATACTTTGAGCCACACTGAGCTTGTCTGGAACCAATGGAGTAGAAACCCTGCCCACCTGGCACTCCACACTACAGTGCCTTGCAAAGGTATTCATCCCCCTTCGCATTTTTCCTATTTTGTTGCATTTCAACCTGTAATTTAAATGGATTTTTATTTGGATTTCATGTAATGGACATACACAAAATAGTCCAAATTGGTGAAGTGAAATGAAAACAATAACTTGTTTCAAAAAATTAAAAAAATAAATAACGGAAAAGTGGTGCGTGCATATGTATTCACCCCCTTTGCTATGAAGACCCTAAATAAGATCTGGTGCAACCAATTACCTTCAGAAGTCACATAATTAGTTAAATAAAGTCCACCTGTGTTCAATCTAAGTGTCACATGATCTGTCACATGATCTGTTCTGAAAGGCCCCAGAGTCTGCAACACCCCTAAGCAAGGGGCACCACCAAGCAAGCGGTACCATGAAGACCAAGGAGCTCTCCAAACAGGTCAGGGACAAAGTTGTGGAGAAGTACAGATCAGGGTTGGGTTATAAAAAAATATCTGAAACTTTGAACATCCTACGGATCACCATTAAATCCATTATTAAAAAATGGAAAGAATATGGCACCACAACAAACCTGCCAAGAGAGGGCCGCCCACCAAAACTCACGGACCAGGTAAGGATGGCATTAATCAGAGAGGCAACAAAGAGACCAAATATAACCCTGAAGGAGCTGCAAAGCTCCACAGCGGAGATTGGAGTATCTGTCCATAGGACCCCTTCAAGCCGTACACTCCACAGAGCTGGGCTTTATGGAAGAGTGGCCAGAAAAAAGCCATTGCTTAAAGAAAAAAAATAAGCAAACACGTTTGGTGTTCGCCAAAAGGCATGTGGGAGACTCCCCAAACATATGGAAGAAGGTACTCTGGTCAGATGAGACTAAAATTGAGCTTTTTGGCCATCAAGGAAAACGCTATATCTGAAGCAAACTCAACACATCTCATCACCCCGAGATCAACATCCCCACAGTGAAGCATGGTGGTGGCAGCATCATGCTGTGGGGATGTTTTTCATGGGCAGGGACTGGGAAACTGGTCAGAATTGAAGGAATGATGGATGGATAAATACAGGGAAATTCTTGAGGGAAACCTGTTTCAGTCTTCCAGAGATTTGAGACTGGGACGGAGGTTCACCTTCCAGCAGGACAATGACCCTAAGCATACTGCTAAAGCAACACTTGAGTGGTTTAAGGGGAAACATTTACATCTCTTGGAATGGCCTAGTCAAAGCCCAGACCTCAATCCAATTGAGAATCTGTGGTATGACTTAAAGGTTGCTGTACACCAGCAGAACCCATCCAACTTGAAGGAGCTGGAGCAGTTTGCCTTGAAGAATGGACAAAAATCCCAGTGGCTAGATGTGCCAAGCTTATAGAGACATACCCAGAGAGACTTGCAGCTGTAATTGCTGCAAAAGGTGGCTCTACAAAGTATTGACTTTGGGGGGGTGAATAGTTATGCACGCTCAAGTTTTCTATTTTTTTGTCTTATTTCTTGTTTGTTTCACAATAACAAATATTTAGCATCTTCAAAGTGGTAGGCATGTTGTGTAAATCAATGATACAAACCCCCTCAAAAATCAATTTTAATTCCAGGTTGTAAGGCAACAAAATAGGAAAAATGCCAAGGGGGTGAATACTTTCGCAAGCCACTGTATGTCAATCTTCAGTAGTTAGAAAGAAAATAAATAAATACTATTTGAACCAAAGCCTGGTTCCTACTATCTTTATGTACAGTACTGGAAGTTCCTCAGGTCTGAATTCTAACATACTACCATCCACTTCCTCTCAGGCTGTAAGAACGTGCACTATGACCTGGTGTTCATCCTGGACACGTCGTCCAGTGTGGGGAAGGAGAACTTTGAGAAGATCCGCCAGTGGGTCTCCAACCTGGTGGAGTCGTTCGACGTGGGCCCGGACAAGACGCGCGTGGCCGTGGTGCGCTACAGTGACCGGCCCACCACAGAGTTCAACCTGGGACGGTACCTCACCATGGACGAGGTGAAGAGGGCCGCCAGGAACATCCGCTACCTGGGCGGGAACACTATGACCGGGGATGCTATCAGCTACACCACCACCAACATCTTCACAGAGCGGGCCGGGGCCAGGCCTGCAGCCAGGGGCATCCAGAAGGTGGCTATCCTCCTGACGGACGGGAGGAGCCAGGATTACGTGTTGGAGCCTTCCAATGCTGCGGCAAAGGCCGGGGTGAGGATGTTCGCGGTGGGCATCGGGGAGGCTCTGAAGGTGGAGCTCGAGGAGATCGCTGCGGAACCTAAGAACGCTCACCTGTTCCATGTTACAGACTTCAATGCCATTGACAAGATCAGAGGGCGGCTGAGGAGACGGCTCTGTGAAAGTAAGTAACCAATCACACAGGCTCCGTGAGAGTAAGTAACCAATCACAGGCTGAGAAGGAGGCTCTGTGAGAGTAGATTTTCAGGTGTAGGAGTTTTCTGTGACTGCCCTTACTCTTTAGTTTGTCAGTTTCGAGAAAACAGATTCCAACAAGAGGTCTACATTACATACACAATCAGGATATCAGAATTGGGTTTCAAATTCAGTTGAAAATGCAGTTATTTCTATCAATCAAAAGCCTCAACCTTCTTACTATACAATCTGTGACTTTGAACTGCACTTTAAAGATAGCTAAATCTATATCACTCTGAATGTATGTATCCTTAAATGACACTGTGATTATCCCCTAAACCTTACACTCCAAAACTAACCCTTTTACACCCCTAAGCAAGACCCTAATCCCAAACTCCACCCCACACCTTAATTCAATTACAGTACATGAGCTATTTCACATGGCTTTCCTCTCGACTAGGCCTTTCCTCTCGACTAGGCCTTTCCTCTCGACTAAGCCTTTCGTCTCGACTAGGCCTTTCCTCTCGACTAGGCCTTTCCTCTCGACTAGGCCTTTCCTCTCGACTAGGCCTTTCGTCTCGACTAGGCCTTTCCTCTCGACTAGGCCTTTCGTCTCGACTAGGCCTTTCCCCTCGACTAGGCCTTTCCTCTCGACTAGGCCTTTCCTCTCGACTAGGCCTTTCCTCTCGACTAGGCCTTTCCTCTCGACTAGGCCTTTCCCCTCGACTAGGCCTTTCCCCTCGACTAGGCCTTTCCTCTCGACTAGGCCTTTCCTCTCGACTAGGCCTTTCCCCTCGACTAGGCCTTTCCTCTCGACTAGGCCTTTCGTCTCAACTAGGCCTTTCCCCTCGACTAGGCCGATCCTTCCTGTACTTCCTCGTCTCTGATTGGGTGTGACATGATATGTGTGAGGTGTGGGCGTTACGCAGAGATCAGCTCGTAAATGACAGTTTTTGAGACCGATACATTTTTGTGGCCGCTTGCCCCAGTGACTTGGGTAAGAGGTGTGTAACGCTGGATAGCCTGAATTACTCTAACCTCAATGTATTTTCCAGGACCCAGCTACACTACTACACATCCTCCGACAGGGAAACTTTCAGTACAAATATGTTGCATTATTTTTGTTTGCCATTATAAATAACAACACGTATATACTATATTAAAAATGTCTTGACAAGAAAAATAGATAAGTGCTAAAACAGTGAGGTATGTGGCCTGGGACGGCTCTGGGCTGGTGAGAAAAGTGGAGTAGTGAGTATGTATTGTATGTTCAGGACAGGAGGTGGAAGATGATTGGTTGGATGCTTCACACTCCACAATTTGCATTCCCCACTAAAATTAGCTGAACATGAAAGCAGGGTATGTCTGAAGCTGTAACGTCTAAACGGAATCCTTGGGACCTCCCAACTCTGACGTCAGCCTATTAAAGTTGAAATTTAAAATGGTTAAGGTTAGGGAAGAGTTATGGTTAGGGTAAGGATATGGGTTAAGGTTAGGGTTACGGCAAAGACAGCACAGTATGGTTTAGAAACTCTGGTTAGGGTTTCGGGAAGGGACGTCCCAAGGATACCGGATAGCACTAACCTGCCTGAAACCCTGGCTGCAAAACAGTAAATAAGGAAGATGAAATGACACGGTCACACGGCTGTACCTGACGATTAGGGCCTCGTCACGAGAAAAGTGTTGGACCATCATTTCAACATAGCCTGTCTCTGAAATGCCACCCCATTGGGCTCTGGTCAAAAGTAGTGCACTATGTAGGGAATAGGGTGCCATTTGGGATGCAGCCATATTCTCACTTACTGCTGAAGAGCACAACAGGATGGCAACAGTACAATACTCAGAGCTGTGTTTAGACAGGAGTCCTTGTGTAATTAGTGATACTTGAGTTTGGCAGGACACTAGGAGATTCATTTGGAAGCTCTTAACCCTGACCCTTCCCTCTGAGACCACAGATTCCAATGTTAATATACCCACCTTGAAGTCAGTCTATAAATTCCTCTCTAGTCATAATGCTTTCAGACATACCATCTATTACGATATGGGGATAAGGGTACTCAGGGGTCACCACATAGAACCTCTTTTACCCTGGACAACTAGTTCATGGCCACCCAAAATGTTTCCTTCTGTAATCTCTAGCATCACCATGTTAGTGGGCACCGCAGAGTGGCCCAAGTTATTTTTGCTCTGAAAATTACAGTTCTAATGTTTCAAGTAGGTCCTAAAGAGCAGTTTATGACTTCCACGTTGTATGTTTTCACCTTTTCATCTAACTGTTAAACACAGTGCTGGGAGAATAATATATATATAAACAGAAACCTTTTAACTCAACTAAACCTCAGTGAATGAGAAAGGCGTGTTTGCCAAATCGAAGACTATTCAACTGCCATAATTGTACTTATGAGGTAATACAGTAGACTGAATTAGGTACACTCCTTAGTTAGAGCATGTTTTCAGTTTTATGTTTTTGATTATGTTTTTGTGAACCATAGAAGTCCACTAGACAAATTTGGCCTATTATGCTTTCAGATCTGAGCAAAGTGCCTCATTTTTCTATTTCATATACATATGTTTTTCGTTAAACTTAACAATGAACAGCAGGCTAAATAAGGCCCATCACCTGCTCCACTATGTTTCCTGTTGATACAAGACCATGCATGACCTCCCAATCCACCCATGACATGGCATTTCCAGTCTCTGCAGATATCTCTTTCCCAGAGGTAGTTAGTGATGGGGGAAAAAAATCTAAACAGTTACATATCGGGATATTATTTTTTACAATATATTGCAACATTATTTTGGACAATAGCTAGGTTTCCATACAATTGTCGACAGATTTTCATGCAAACGTTCTAAAATCTGCATAAAAACTATATGTGCATTTTCCCATAAAAAATGTGTTTCCATCCAATTGACTTGTTGCAGATAAAAGGCTGCTGTTAAATTCTCATGTACCGAATAAAAAATACAAGTTAAATGGGTTTCAATCGCATTTTCAACTCTACTGATGTTTTTGTCACAAAAACGTTTGCATTATATAGCGAATGTGCCCTCTCTGGTCTTGGCACGTGCACTGTAGCCAACAGCTCACGGATACAGCGCGGGTGTAGTTTACATGATGAGATTATTATGGTGTTATGGTGATTATAACAGAGTGACATTTTTTTCAATTGTTTTAAACGGCAGCCAAGCCTCGAGCATCATGTCACCAGAATAAGACCCTTGATATTTATTGGAAAGGAGCATTAAGCTCATCACCTTGCACTTTCACCACCCTGTGGAGTTCATCACACTTATTTTGTATTTATTTTTATTGTTGTTGTATTTTACCCACTTTTTCGATGTTGTCTCATCGCTGCAACTCCCCAACGGGATCGGGGGGCGAAGGTCGAGTCATGCGTCCTCCGAAACATGACCCACCAAACCGCGCTTCTTCACACCCGCCCGCTTAACCCGGAAGCCAGCCGCACCAACGTGTCCGAGGAAAGCATCACATTTATTTCATCTGTAGCCTAATAAACTGCATGCTTTCCCGAGTCGTAGTGGGAGTACCACACACAACATATCATTGCGTGACTCCAAGTTTACGTCGATATGATGGTTATTATATCAATATTTGCACATAAAGGTGTTTCCACAGCCGTTGTTTGCATGTACTTCACTTGCATAAGAAGGTTGGATGGAAACCTGGTTAGTATCATAATATTATTTTTGCGCTATTCGGCTGTACCTACACTAAAACTTCAGTATTTTTCCTTCATAGCTTGTTCTCCATCTTCTTTTTAAATGGTGAGCCAATTTGTTTCAGAACTTTTATTTCCATGACTGATCAAAACTCGTTTTCTCATGGCTCTCTCTTGTCCCTCTGCAGCAGACATACAGTACATAAGGTGAGCCCCACACTGCAGATTCACCTCAACTTGATTAGGACATGCTGTTGCATTGTATGTTACTGCTGGTGTATGAGACCTATGAGATATCACTCGGCTCCAAAAAGTTTAGGGCTTTGCCCTGCATTGCTTCCATTTTAACTCTGAGGCAGATCTTTAAATTATAGCTGTTGGGCCACAAGGAGAGGGAGTGACTAGCTCTGCAGTGAGCTCAGTCTCAGACCTTCAGTTATGGCTGTATCTTAAAACACAGTGACTCACGGCTGTCCTTTCAAAGCTATTGTAATTGTTGGCCACAATAGCTATGTAGTATTACTCTAACCATCTCTTTACAAACTGTGTGTTTCTACCGGGAATTAAAGACCTCCTATAACCACCAGCAAGTTCGGATATGCTTAAATAAAGGAAAACTCCAGACAAAAACTATATTTTGGTATTTGTTAATATAGTCCCAAAATGTTTTGCATGTCAGCAATCAAGTTTTCAAGATATGTAACTTTCAAAATACAGCATCTTATGATGCAAAATGCATCATACTGGCTATATTTCTGTATTTTTAAAGTGATATATTTTGAAAACTTGATTGGGACTATATCAACAATGGACTAATGAAACAAATACCAAAAGACAGTTTCGGGGTGGAATTTTCCTCTAAAATAAAAGTAAAATAAAATAAAAAATAAAACACCCAAGTAAATTGAACAAGCAAGGATACACAAACAAACATAAAACACATCTCAGAGATAGAGACCACATCAAATGTAGAAATGATCAGTTACTTAATTCCTTTTCTGCCACAGTAAACAACTTATTATGGCAGCCAGGCACGAACACCGTGAAACACTGTAACAGTCTACCAAGGATAAACTGTCTACCTGGATTTTCCCAGGACATTATGAACTTGACTCTGCATTTACAAAGAACAAGGCTTGTCAAGCGACAGAGCCATCCCTGTAAAATGGATACCATAGTAAAGTTAAAGCCTCCTTAACTCAACAAAGTCCTTTTTATAGCCACAATTAAAGAAAATTACAGGGTCCGACAGTGCATGATCGTCAGAGACACGATCTGCTGCGCGGTTTGGGTGTCTGCCTGCTTTACACACACACAAGTTTACATGCACCACACACACACACGCATGCACACATACACACGCACACACACACACACTTGAGATTAACAATACATTTGGTTAAGTGCCGTTAGTTCCTCTGATGCGAATTTATCATAGCATCACAGTTCAAAGGCAATAATGTGAGTTAAAACTGAATTCCTCTGGTCTTAACACAACTATGATGAGGAATTTAAATAATTTCACCGTCAATACCTTTTAGTGCCAGTGTGTCTGCTCTCCTCTCAGTGTTCATAGCTGAAAACTATTTCAGAGATTTTATTAATAGAGATCAATGCTATGCAATGAGAATTGGTGTCGCTAATATGCCTGTTTTTGCACATTAACATCATATAACAAACCATGCAGTATTCCAGGAAAGGTGGGCAAAGAAATGTGCAGTACATTTACAGTATACCCCCTCTCCAAGCAGAGGAGGCTGGTGGGATGAGCTATAGGAGGCCAGGCTCATTGTAATAGCTGGAATGGAATTAATTGAATGGAGTCAAACATACGGTTTCATATATTTGATATGGTTACATGTATTCCGTTCTAGACATTACAATAGATCCTCCCACCAGCCTCCACTGTCTCCAACTGAGCCACTAGCCTCCATCCCAGTTTGAACATCATACAAAGAACCCCATCCCATTATTGCCAGCAGCATTGATACCTGTTACCTCAGCAACAACACATAGAAAAGTCAGGATGGGATCTTCCCTCCTACAAATAGAAAATACTTTTCTGCCAATGTAAACTAACCCTGAGTGGGGCTGTTGCCTTTCCTCTCTGTCACCACTGGCATCACTTGGCCATCCCAGGCCTCTGAGATATGTGTGTGTGTGTGTGAGAGAGAGAGAGAGAGAGAGAGAGAGAGAGAGAGAGAGAGAGAGAGAGAGAGAGAGAGGCCTGTGAAGTATGTATGTGTGTGTGAGTCTAAAACTGTCACCGCTGGGGTTGGTGCATGCAGCCCCTACTCCTACTGGAGCCAGAGGCAATGTCTCTTCTGTCTTGGGCAGTCTGACTGTGTCAAACAGACTGTCTCAGATCTACCGGTAGTTTCAATGAAGGATCCCGTTTCAATGGGACACGCCCTTCATAACTCCGATCATCTAGTTAAAACTAATTATCCTTTTCAATTAAAACAATGTAGCTAACAAGGTTTCTAGGATATGTCAAAGATTGTATTCTCTATAAGACATTTTTTTTCATTTCACACTGTGAACATTGCTTTGTTGACTACATGAATCCAAGTGTGTATTCTTGCAGCGGAAGACAAATGACAAAGTGTTAACATGAATTACTGTATATGGAAGGCATAAACTGCTCAAAATAAGATTCTCTGTTACCCCAATCTAATTCTGCACTTCTGCTCTCTCCTCAGACGTGCTGTGCCCCAATATGAAGGTCCAACCAGACCGCTTCAAGCCCAACAGCACCAGCTATGGCCTGGAGGAAGTTCCAGGTAAAAACAGCTTTTCTTCTCCACTTTTCACAGTTAAACTTTTCTCATTGTTACACATTCATCAAACAGAATGGTTAAAAGCTCAAACGCAATGTATCTGACTGCAAGGATCATTGGATCTATGCAATCATGGTGTATAACAGCGTCTGAAAATAGGCCCACTACACAAATACCTGTTTTTCATGAACATTTGTACTAAGACCAGATGGTAAATTCATTTACTTTCTCTACCCTCTCCTCTATCACTTCAGACCTTCCTTCGAGAACACAAAGGAAAAAGTTTTTGAGCCAAGCCAAAACATACCTTTTCATTTATCCATTTGCTGGGACTAGTTTTCCATTGTTATAATGTTACAAAAAGTATCAAAGCTTGTACATGAAGCAGCCTACTTCCCTAGTGTTGACCCACAGACTTTCCATCCAACTACAAGAGAAGGTGGGACGTTTTGCTAAGTGAACACAGACTATATTACTATCTATGACAACTTAAAAATAGTCATTATGGTCTAGTTCTGTATTTACTGATTATATTAAGGCATCTTAGCAGGTTCAGGTTGTTCTTGTGGTCTCTATTTTCAGTGGCTGTGTATTTACCGGTATATATAAAAAAGAGAGTTTCTGAGAAATGTGGAGCGGTATTGCTTAACCAGATAAGTAGGATGTTGTCTTACAGTCTTAAGGGATCGGAGTTCCTGTCAATGCCTCCCATTCACATTCATCATGCTAAGCGGAAAAACAGACATGGACCGGGAGGGATGTCTGACTCCTGCTACAGCCTCTTTACCTGGGGAGAGGAAACTGTCAAATCTAGTGTGAAATGCATAAATGTGGTCCTCTGTAGCTCAGCTGGTAGAGCACGGCGCTTGTAACGCCAAGGTAGTGGGTTCGAACCCCGGGACTACCCATACACAAAAAAATGTATGCACGCATGACTGTAAGTCGCTTTGGATAAAAGCGTCTGCTAAATGGCATATTATTATTATTATTATAAAATATCATGAATGCAGATCAAAAAACAAATATTGTAGTCATGGCACTGAGATATCTGATGTAGAGAACATCACGTAGTGAGACATTTTAGATTAACGGGCTGTTCAAAATGTTAATTTGCTTCATAACCTAACGTGTCAAAGCGGTGTGAATAATTGCAATAACATACTTCAGAGTTTTGCTGCTTAGTAATTGTTCCTTTAATTCTCCTGAGTGCATGACTACATGCTTGGTGGTAGGATAATCATGGATTTAGTGTCAACTGCCACAACCTAAATATTTTCACTCAAAAGTCAAGATTTTGATACCACGATGTAGTGCTAAAGGCAGAGGTGGCCAATTTCATCTAGCCAAGCAGTAACACCTGGTTTTCAAATAAGACTGATTATCTGAATCAGGTGTGTTACTGCTTAGCTGGAACAAAAGCCTGCACCCACACAACCCTTAGCGGATAAGACCCCTGGGGGAGTCCTCTAGGGCATTCAAGTCCTAACTCAGTCATGTGGAGCTGCACATTGAAACAGCTTTTCAGCCAAGTTCAGGAAAACCCTATCCGGGGGTGAACAGAGGTTTAACAACGTGGGTTGTAAACCTGTCTGAGAAGCTGAGGCCTTCTGGCTGAGCTGGTGTTTGTTTCTGGTGTTTGAAACGACAGTTCCTCCGGTGGTTCCCACTGACTAGACAGGATACATCACATCCTCTAGTAGACAACCCCAGTGCTAATTATGTGGCCTGGCCTTTACTATAAACTGCAATATAAAGAGGAAGAAATCTGGATAAATCACTAGAACTATGCAGCCAAATTTGTTTGAAGATGCTTCACATTCACAACAACAATAAATGTGTTGTTACAAGTCACTTTGGATAAAAGCATCTGTTAAATGGTATATTACATTTAGCTGAATTGTTCAGGCAGATCTCAGTGTGGGCTTGATTGATTGGCAGATATGGGTTAATCCACACACACACACACACACACACACACACATCACACACACACACGCACACCACTGTATTTGTGTCTTTTCTGTTGGAGCTTAAACTAAGTGGAGCCACAGCCCTATTCTGGCCTTGCTAGATATCAGGCCTACTAGGTTTGTCTGTTTAATAGATGTACTGCCAGAGGACATTAAACTCCACTTGTTTAAAGGCAGAGGCCTAAAATAAGCTCCTATTTGCAATTATGTCATTGGTGCTCCAATGGAACAGCTCAGTGTGTGTGTGTGTGCGTGTGTGTGTGTGCGAGTGTGTTTGTGTGTAAGGGTTTCCCGGGTTAGCCACCCACCATATTAATGTGGTTTGGAGAGGACACACCCTTTTAAACAACAATCAAGTCACTATGGCAATGCTAGCAGGGCGCAAGGACCAGGGGCAGGGCGTTAACTAATGCTGACTGCTATCCATCTGATCTCAGTACTACAGCCAATGGTCCTGTTGTCCTGTAAATACACAGACAGTCTGGCATAATTCACCATAAAACTGGGTCAAATTGTATTTGCACTGTTTGTTTGACTTAGGCCTAGCTTGAATAACCTGCTGTTTCATCCTATGAATATAGATATCATTCATAAGTTATAGTCTAGACTGCAGTTTGCTATGAATGCTACAGAGAATCACTCTGAAGAGAGTTTTAATTTTACATTTACATTTACGTTTACGTCATTTAGCAGACGCTCTTATCCAGAGCGACTTACAAATTGGTGCATTCACCTTATAGCCAGTGGGATAACCACTTTACAATATTTTTTTTTTTTCTTTCTTTGGGGTGGGGTAAGGGAGGGTAGAATGATTACTTTATCCTATCCCAGGTATTCCTTAAAGAGGTGGGGTTTCAAGTGTCTCCGGAAGGTGGTGAGTGACTCCGCTGTCCTGGCGTCGTGAGGGAGCTTGTTCCACCACTGGGGTGCAAGAGCAGCGAACAGTTTGACTGGGCTGAGCGGGAACTGTGCTTCTGCAAAGGTAGGGGGGCCAGAAGGCCAGAGGTGGATGAACGCAATGCCCTCGTTTGGGGTGTAGGGACTGATCAGAGCCTGAAGGTACGGAGGTGCTGTTCCCCTCACAGCTTCGTAGGCAAGCACCATGGTCTTGTAGCAGATGCGAGCTTCATCTGGAAGCCAGTGGAGTGTGCGGAGGAGCGGGGTGACGTGAGAGAACTTGGAAGGTTGAACACCAGACGGGCTGCGGCATTCTGGATGAGTTGTAGGGGTTTAATGGCACAGGCAGGGAGCCCAGCCAACAGCGAGTTGCAGTAATCCAGACGGGAGATGACAAGTGCCTGGATTAAGACCTGTGCCGCTTCCTGTGTAAGGCAGGGTCGTACTCTCCGAATGTTGTAGAGCATGAACCTACAGGATCGGGTCACCGCCTTGATGTTAGCGGAGAACGACAGGGTGTTGTCCAGGGTCACGCCAAGGCTCTTTGCACTCTGGGAGGAGGACACAACGAAGTTGTCAACCGTGATGGCGAGATCATGGAACGGGCAGTCCTTCCCCGGGAGGAAGAGCAGCTCCGTCTTGCCGAGGTTCAGCTTGAGGTGGTGATCCGTCATCCACACTGATATGTCTGACAGACATGCAGAGATGCGATTCGCCACCTGGTTATCAGAAGGGGGAAAGGAGAAGATTAGTTGTGTGTCGTCTGCGTAGCAATGATAGGAGAGGCCATGTGAGGATATGACAGAGCCAAGTGACTTGGTGTATAGCGAGAATAGGAGAGGGCCTAGAACAGAGCCCTGGGGGACACCAGTGGTGAGAGCACGTGGTGCGGAGACAGATTCTTGCCACGCCACTTGGTAGGAGCGACCGGTCAGGTAGGACGCAATCCAAGAGTGAGCCGCGCCGGAGATGCCCAGCTCGGAGAGGGTGGAGAGGAGGATCTGATGGTTCACAGTATCAAAGGCAGCAGACAGGTCTAGAAGGACAAGAGCAGAGGAGAGAGAGTTAGCTTTAGCAGTGCGGAAAGCCTCCGTGACACAGAGAAGAGCAGTCTCAGTTGAATGACCAGTCTTGAAACCTAACTGGTTTGGATCAAGAAGGTCATTCTGAGAGCGATAGCAAGAGAGTTGGCTAAAGACGGCACGCTCAAGAGTTTTGGAGAGAAAAGAAAGAAGGGATACTGGTCTGTAGTTGTTGACATCGGAGGGATCGAGTGTAGGTTTTTTGAGAAGGGGTGAAACTGTTCTGTGAGCTCGCAATGAGTTGTCAAGCCACGGAGCAGGAGGGGAGGACCGAGCCGGCCGGGAGGATAGGGGACATAGAGAGTCAAAAGATGCAGAAAGGGAGGAGAGGAGGGTTGAGGAGGCAGAATCAGGAGATTGGAGGGAGAAGGATTGAGCAGAGGGAAGAGATGATAGGATGGAAGAGGAGAGAGTAGCGGGAGAGAGAGAGCGAAGGTTGCGACGACACATTACCATCTGAGTAGGGGCAGAGTGAGTAGTGTTGGAGGAGAGCGAGAGAGAAAAGGATACAAAGTAGTGGTCAGAGACATGGAGGGGAGTTGCAGTGAGATTAGTAGAAGAACAGCATCTAGTAAAGATGAGGTCAAGCGTATTGCCTGCCTTGTGAGTAGGGGGGGACGGTGAGAGGGTGAGGTCAAAAGAGGAGAGGAGTGGAAAGAAGGAGGCAGAGAGAAATTAGTCAAAGGTAGATGTAGGGGGGTTAAAGTCACCCAAAACTGTGAGGGGTGAGCCATCCTCAGGAAAGGAACTTATCAAGGCATCAAGCTTATTGATGAACTCTCCAAGGGAACCTGGAGGGCGATAAATGACAAGGATGTTAAGCTTGAATGGGCTAGTGACTGTGACAGCATGGAATTCAAATGAGGTGATAGACAGATGGGTCAGGGGAAAAAGTGAGAATGTCCACTTGGGAGAGATGAGGATTCCTGTGCCACCACCCCGCTGACCAGATGCTCTCGGGGTATGCGAGAACACATGGTCAGACGAGGAGAGAGCAGTAGGAGTAGCAGTGTTTTCAGTGGTAATCCATGTTTCCGTCAGCGCCAAGAAGTCGAGGGACTGGAGGGTAGCATAGGCTGAGATGAACTCTGCTTTGTTGGCCGCAGAGGCTGCCGGAGACCTGGAACTCCACGTGGGTCGTGCGTGCAGGGACCACCAGGTTAGAGAGGCAGCAGCCACGCGGTGTGAGGCGTTTGTATAGCCTGTGCAGAGAGGAGAGAACAGGGATAGACAGAGGCATAGTTGACAGGCTACAGAAAATGGCTACAATAATGCAAAGGAGATCGGAATGAAATGAACTAAACATCTGGGAAAGCGAGAGAGCGGGGCCTCCCTCACTTACGTTTCACTGAAACACCCAAATATAACTCTCCCAACTTCCACCTCAGATACTATAATTGTTGTAAACTACAGCGGTTCAATGTTTTCTAGGAATAGACTAACTTAGTTTATTCAGCTAGCTAACTTGGTACAGTATTCTTCCGTGAAAACCGTCCAGGGCACCTAGTCCTAGGACGCCACAGCCAACTAGCATGCCAGCCTCCAACAACACGGTTTAGCACCAATACTCGGTCACAACAAACCACCAGTGTGTCAACACGCCAAGCAGATCATTCGTGTCCGTGTCTAATGTTGTGGGTTAGTCCTGACAGCTTGAGCGAGTCCGTCGTCAACTTATTCAGCCAGTTAGTTAGCTAGAATAGTTAGCATACTAGCTAGCCATTGCTTTCTGCCAATGAAAAAACCCCTCCACCCACGGCACGAACACACAGAGAGAGCCAAGCTAACGTTAACTAGTCACCCATGTCCCGAATTCCCTTGAACGACTCTGGCTACCAGTATGTGAAAACAAAACACAAATGTAGGTTATAACTTACCCCTAGCAGCTACTGTTAGCTAGCCAAGTGCAAAGCTAGCCACTGAATCGACTCAGCCAGTTCGCGTCTGTTCGCTAGGTCGTTCCAGCTATTGTTTAGTTAGCTATCCAGGTAGCAACAAGCTAGCTACATTTCGAGCTCAGTAGCTACTTACTAGCTAACGTTAACGCTTCAGACAATGAGGTTAGAAAAACAGCTGAATGGTAGGCATTATTGTATGTATTTATTGTAGGCAGCTAGCTGGCGTAATTACAGACACTCTTAAGCGTGAAACAACTATCCACAGTTGCTAATAGTTACCAGTAGCTACACGCTAGCTAGTCCAGGTAAGCTTAATCAGGCTACAGTATACATTTTCTCAGCTAGATTTGAATCACATTTCCCATATGGACATAATTCAGAAGGAATATGACTTGTGAATGTCAATATGTGATACTTAACATTGTTCAGGGGGCAGTTAAGTTTCATTATGAAGGCGGTAATGTGACAGTGCTACTGAAGCCTACAGGCAGGTGGCAAACTGCACAGGCTGCAGATACACCATTAGCAACACATTTTTTAAACCTTAAAACATACAGGGGCCCCATAGCCCTGTCATAGCATGCTGCTGGATAACTGTCGAAGGGACCCCATAGCCCATCAACTGTCTGAAACAATAAACATTCCTCTGACCTGCTGCATCTATCTACTTCATCTCACAGCAAGGAAGTGCCAAGTACTCAGACAGACAGACAGGTCTACTGGTCTGTGGGGTTAACTGCCCCGCCCCACCCCGCCTAGACAATTATGGTAGAGTAACACTTTGAGATCAGATGTCATCTGGGTGGGTCGTGGTCGAGGAGGTACCCAACTACCCATAATCCAGCTGAGGTTTTTTATAGCTCTGTTTTCTCTTCTGTCACCGTGCTGCACTATGCAAATACTCTCCATGCTCTGTGCACTCGCTGAGTCCCGTGGCTTTAATGACGAGCCGGGCTGTAGGACAGACCTGTAATTTGGATTGGCAGAGGATGCTGTATAATCATCATCCTCCAAAAAGTTATTCTGAAAAGCCAGAGAATAGACGGCCAATGGGGCGACCTGGCTCTGTGGGGAACGCCAAATGAGTGCAGTAACTGGGAAAGGGAAAGACATTCTTTTGATCCGGACAGGGGCAACATCTGGGCACTAGGCTGCCGTGATCGTCGGTTCATAATTACACACAGTGGGGATATCATGGTCACCAGTCTATGGTTCTATGGTTCTCTGCTGACTCGCCACTTGTTCAATAGGATTGCTGAATGGTAGGAGACCCTACGCCTAAACCAGTCTGGGAAGTTTTCATTCAAATAGCTACTGGCAGTCTATTAGTGGGCAACCACAAACTACAGAGAGGATTTCCTTTTGTTTGTAACTTTTCTTTTCTCAAGTGATGACATATGGTGGAGACCCCAAATATGCATAGTTCTACTCCACTTTAGGGCGTGAGAATTGTTTGGTATTTTGAGTGATCATTGCTTGTTTTGTGCTGGGATGGCAAATGCCCATTTGCTACATCCAGAATCACTATACAAAACCTTGTGATCTCTCTCTCTCTCTCTCTCTCTCTCTCTCTCTCTCTCTCTCTCTCTCTCTCTCTCTGTCTCTCAAAACCCCCCAAATTGAACTGTATCAATCTGACTAGCTAGTAAGGATATATATATATATATATATATATATAAATTGTGAGAAACAGTATACAGTAAATATCATCCTATCTACTTGGGTATCTGTCTGTCAGTCGTTTTCAACCTATAGCTCTTTTTATGGTTTTTAGTGTGTTGCTCTGGACTTTTCATGATCTGTGCTCCCTCTGTTGGTGATCAGAAGAAAGTTCTACAAACCACTTCAATTATTTGATTTACTCAGCTATAACTTTAGGCTAATCATGTTATTTTCTGTCCTGTCTGTTGCAGGGTTCGACCTGATGGAATACTTCAAAGTGGAAAACATACTGGGATCAAGGATTGATGAGGGCCAGAGTTCCTATGTCCGACTTGGGACCATGCCTATTGTACAACAGACAGAGTGAGTGAACAATTCTGTATTTGCTGTGACAAATAGGCCTACATTTAATTCACAGGCCACGGTTTACATTGATTGATTGAGTTGAGTTGCTGACAGGTCTTCCATCACAATCTTCCTATCCTAATAAAAAGTGAAGACACAATTCAGCAACTGTTGGAGGGCAGTGGAAGTTTATTTTTAATTTTTTTTAAAGCTTCTTTATTGATAACACCAACATGTTTCTACCCTTAGGCTACGTTTACACAGGCAACCCAATTCTGATATTTTTTTCTACTAATTGGTATTTTTACCAATCAGATCAGCTCTTTGACAATGATTGGGCAAATTATCAGAATTGGGCTGCTTGTGTAAATGCTTTTATAGGCTACATTTGAAAATGGCTTCCAATAGGTTCAGGTGTTATGATACTGATGGTTTGTCGAGACTGATGTTTTTTATGGCTGTGGCTCCCAGCACAGCTCCATTTAGTTGTTGCATCGGGGATATCAGTGCATTTCAACATAACACGTTGGGGGTAATGAAACAACGGAGCCCCATTCATTTTTAATGGAGGGAAGTGAAGTGGGCGGGGGGACCGTTGGGGAAAGCTGAACTTTATGCAAATACTCCACAATATCGCAACGCTATTGACCAATCAAAGCTCACTATACCTTCCAGACCCTACTCGATTGGCTGTTGATACCTAGCACTACCTAGCTTGCTAGCACCCACATGAGGGCAGAGCTAGAGTGACTATCCGAAAAGCTGTTGTTGACAACTATAGCATTTTAGCTAAGCCTAACCCTAACCCTTTTCCTAACTTTAACCTCATTCTCCTAACCTGCTATGTTAATTATCTTAACCTTCTGCATTAATTCTACTAACCTGCTACGTGAAGTCACTTCTGTCCATAGCTGGGTACGCTTAGCTACAGTTGTCAACAAATCATCAGTCTTGACACACCATCAGTATCACCAAACCTGTAATAATAGTTTTCATCAACTTCCACTACTTTCCAAGAGTTGCCTAATTTCATCTTCACTTCAGTTTACTGTTCAATTCTAATGATGTGTCGTTCGCGAACAAACAGCTCTTTTTGAACGGTCCTTGCTACCCGGGATGTCCCTATCTCTTTGAAGTTGACATTTAAAATGTTTAATGTAAGGGTTAAGGTTAGGGTTAGGGTTTAGGAAAGGGACATCCAAAGGATCCAGTTAGCACTAACCCATTATGAATGGCTCTTGATAGTGAATGTTAGGAACCGAATCGCATCGGTGAAAGAGACGTTTACTTGGCTCCCTGATTTGCATACTGCTACTACTACTTTTTGAGCTTCAAACAATGATTATCTGCTTACAGAATCATTCTCTGAAGATGGTGAATCCTCACTGCAGAAACAATAAATAGTGGGGAGAGCACCTCATTCTGTTTCACACTGATTTTGGCAGTGCCCCGTAAAAAAATGATTAATTGGCAACCCTCTGTGCTGTTGTTTTCTAGAGATGTTTTCCCTCAAGGTCTGCCAGATGAATATGCCTTTGTGACGACTTTCAAGTTCAGGAAGACCTCGAGACGAGAGGACTGGTACCTCTGGCAAATCTTTGACAAGTATGGAATTCCACAGGTGGGTTATCATAGTGGTGTGTGTGTGTGTGTGTGTGTGTGTGTGTGTGTGTGTGTGTGTGTGTGTGTGTGTGTGTGTGCATCAAAAGACTCCATGCTGAGTCTATTTGATTACCAGTTTCAGGGCTGGCATGATTATTGTTTTCCTGATAATTTGTACCATTGAATATCAGAGAACATGTTATATTTGCCTATCAGATGCATAGGAGAATCCTTTCATTATTAACACATTCAACTTTATTCACTTGATCCTTCCCCCGGCGCTCCTACCCAGGTGTCTATCCGTCTGGACGGTGAGAACAAGGCAGTGGAATACAACGCAGTGGGGCTGACCAAAGACGCAGTGAGAGCTGTGTTCAAGAATGAGGAGGTGGACAACCTGTTCGACAGGAACTGGCACAAGATCGCCTTGAGCGTCGAGGCCAAGTCGGTGTCTCTGTACCTGGACTGTAAACTCATCCAGACCCTGCCCATCGGGGACAGGGAGGACATTGATATCCACGGGAAGACTGTGATCGGGAAGAGGCTGTACGACAGCGTGCCCATTGATGTGAGTGGCTGGGTGTTCCAAGTATAAGGGTTGAGGTTAAGAGCAGTGGGAAGTTCAGGGGAATGGAAGTATGGTACCGTATGTGGTGGAACAACATGGTGGATTAAGGAAGTACTCTTTATATTGTATTTCTAGACTACAGATGTGGGATCTTAATTTGACTCTTTTGTTGCTGAGAATTTTCCTGCACAGCAGGAAATGCAAACTTGTAGTGTACTCAAGGTTTAAAAAGGCTTCTAAAGTTTGTAATTTCCACTATGAAATGTCAGACTTGACTAATTGGCTAATTTAGGAAAGGGCCAATTTTAGCTCGCTAGCTAGCCACCGGAGGACAACAACCCAACGAGATGCAATAATTGAAGTTGTTTCTGTCAATGACGTATGCTCTCAATATGATTTGATAAGAGAGACGCCAAATCTATGCTGGCTTCCCTTGACACTTTTTTTGGTGTGCCAGGACCATTCACAGTTTAGCTCAACGCTGATTGGCTAATTTTTTATACTTTTATGTCAAGGGAAGCCAAATGCTCGCTGGCTTCCCTTGCATTCAATGCTACGGGCGGCAACAATGTCATACTCGTTTGGATCAGACAGCATCAGATAGATGGCCTACACGTAGAAAGACAGAGGGGCTCTGTTTCGCTCACTCGGATGCTTTCTCCTGTGAGATACAGTATATTCAGCCTCTTGCAAATTGAAGAACAATTCTGAAACGCAGAGAGACGAAATATACATTATTTAATAGTTTTTGGTTGTTTTTTGGGAAGCCTGGCTTACCTTGGCATCCATGAATACGCGCCACTGTTCTAAAGTTTGTAATTTCCACTTTAAAATGTCAGACTTGATTTGCCCTAACGAATCAACTCCTACAAAAATGTCCATTAATTATAATCCACATAATAATTCACATTTCCTGTTGCTGCAGGACAGTTGGTAGAGCATGGCGCTTGGAACACCAGGGTTGTGGGTTCGATTCCCACTGGGGGCCAGTAAGAAAAATGTATGCACTCACTAACTGTAAGTCGCTCTGGATAAGAGCGTCTGCTAAATTACTAAAATGTAAAATGTGCAAACTGGCTCAAATTAAGATCCTACATCTGTAGTGTTCATCTTGTGATTCTGTGTTCATTTACTGTACTGTAGTGTATGTTTAGCTTACTTTGTGACTTTCTGGCCCTGCAGTTTGACCTCCAGAGGATGATGATCTACTGTGACTCCAAACACGCTGAGCTGGAGACCTGCTGTGATCTGCCCACCGGGCCGGTGAGTCAGACAGTCTGACAAACAGGGTACCTGTCTCTGTGGTAGTCCACTCCAGGAGCATGTCTGCCATGGTTTTCATACTCACCTTACAGTGGTGGGCCACTCCAGTGAGTCAGCCAATCATCTGTCACTGTGGTGGGCCTGGGCCACTGTGCTGGACAGAATGCCTATCATGCCTCACTGCTTCCTGAGAGCCATCTTTCCTTTTTCTCATTTTCTCTGTCCTGTCCACTTACCTGGCTCACCTTCAGATGGTAACACAGTTTTTTAATTCCAGTGCCCCAAGAAGGTGGTGACGGAGGCCCCTCCCATAGAGATTCCCACCCCCACCCCTGCAGTGGGGGAGCAGCAGGTAGGACCCCAGGCGGTCAACTGCTCCTGTCCTGCTGGAGAGAGGGTAAGATCTATTTATAAACTTGGTGTTCGAGCCCTGAATGCTGATTGGCTGAAAGCCATGGTATATGAGACCGTATACCACGGGTATGACAAAACATTTTGTTTTACTGTTCTAATTACGTTGGTAACCAGTTTTTAATAGCAATAAGGCACTTCGGAGGTTTATGATATATGGGCAATATACCACGGCTAAGGGCTGTATCAAGGCACTCCACATTGCGTTGTGCATAAGAACAGCCCTTAGCCATGGTATATTGGCCATATACCACACCCCCTCCTGCTTATTGCTTTATTATAGGTCATAGCTCCTCTATATCAATGGTCATGTGTTTTACGGTTTCCAAAGATCTGTTTATTTAAAGGGATACTTAGTGATTTTGGCAATGAGGCCCTTTATCTACTTCCCCAGAGTCAGATTAACTTGTGGCTACCATTTTTAGGTCTCTGTGTGCAGTTTGAAGGAAGTTGCTAACCAGCGCTAGCGCAATTGCTAACTAGCGTTAGCATAATGACTGGAAGTCTATGGTATCTACTAGCATGCTAGCAGATACCCATAGACTTCCAGTAATTGCACTAACCCTAGTTAGCATTGGCTCGCGAAACTACCGCTAACATACTGGACACAGAGACATAAAAGTTCATCTGACGCAGGGAAAGTAGATAAAGGGCCTCAATGCCAAAATTCCAAGGTATCCCTTTAATGTTTTACTCACTTGCAAAATAGATCTTATTTTCAATGTGACTACATGATGAAATAATGGATAAATAAATGTTCCTTCCCCACAGGGAGAGATTGGTGTACCTGGTGTTGCCGGTCCCAAGGGTGAAAAGGTCATCTAACGCTCCTCCTAAGCCAAATCTCATGTGTGATGCAACAATATTCCTATTTTCTGAATCTATTAGCTCTGGGCTCGTTGTTGTGCTCTGTCATAATGCCACATGCCTACTCTTTCAGGGTGATACTGGTGCTCTGGGAGCGGTTGGACCTTCTGGCCTCAAGGGTGCCAAAGGAGAAACTGTATGAAAACATTACTGTGACAATGTCAAACGTACTAATGTCCCATTTATTTATCTGCTATCTTAATTTGACCCTGTCTCTCACAGGAGGAAAATAATCCTGCAGCAATAGGAAATGTGAATTATTATGTGGATTATAATGAATGGACATTTTTGTAGGGGTTGATTAGTTAGGGCAAATCAAGTCTGACATTTTGAAGTGGAAATTACAAACTTTAGAACAGTGGCATGTATTCATAGATACCAAGGTAAGCCAGGCTTCCCACATTTTTTTGCTAAAAAACAACCAAAAACTATTAAATAATGTATATTTCGTCTCTCTGCGTTTCAGAATTGTTCTTCAATTTGCAAGAGGCTGAATATACTGTACCTCACAGGAGAAAGCATCCGAGTGAGCGAAACAGAGCCCCTCTGTCTTTCTACGTGTAGGCCATCTATCTGATGCTGTCTGATCCAAACGAGTATGACATTGTTGCCGCCCGTAGCATTGAATGCAAGGGAAGCCAGCGAGCATTTGGCTTCCCTTGACATAAAAGTATAAAACATTTGCCAATCAGCGTTGAGCTAAACTGAGCGAGCTCAACTGTGAAGGGTCCTGGCACACCAAAAGAAAGTGTCAAGGGAAGCCAGCATGGATTTGGCGTCTCTCCTATCAAATCATATTGAGAGCATACGTTATTGACAGAAACAACTTGAATTATTGCATCTCGTTGTGTTGTTGTCCTCCTGTGGCTAGCTAGCGAGCTAAAATTGGCCCTTTCCTAAAGTAGCCATGGGATGGAAATAGGGATTTGGACTTGTGGTTTTACTTAATTCTCCATACTGGCCAATGTTTATAACGGCGATTCTGATCCAACCATTAAGTCATACATTGTTGTGCCCCTGGCCTGAGAGGATGGAAGTTCAATATGTAGCTAGACGTAGTAGGCAAATGTTAACTAGCTAACCTTGCCCATGAATGGAAGTTAGGCTAGCGAGTTTTAAATTGTTTTTGGTATCTTTTAGTTGTCACTGTATTTGACTAAGAAGAGGTGATTTGATGATGTTGAAATGTTGGAAGTTAAAATGGTGCTGGAATAGTGGAGGCAGCTCCTGTTTCCAGTGATTTTACCCACGAACCACTACTGCTTTAGAAGCCTTTAAACTTTGAATACACAACAATTTGCATTTCCTACTGTGCTGGAAAATTCTCTGCGACAACAGAATATCAAATTAAGATAGCAGATCTGTATGGGCCTGATATTTAAAAAAGAAACAGTTGATAGTAAACATAATAAACAGTCATAGTAGCACATAGCTTGTTTACCTCATATTGGAGTTTTTTTGTTGTATTGTGTTAAGTATATGATATAAAAATAATAATGTTTAAAGTTCCTGCTAGATGATGTGTTAATCTATGTAGATTGCATTCGGAAAGTATTCAGACCCCTTTACTTTTTCCACATTTTGTTATGTTACAGCCTTATTCAAAAATGTATTAAATTGTTTTTTTCCTCATCAATCTACACACAATACCCCATAATGACAAAGCAAAAACAGATTTTTAGAAATTTTTGCAAATGTATTAAAAATAAAAAAAATTAAATATCACATTTACATAAGTATTCAGACCCTTTACTGAGTAATTTGTTGAAGCACCTTTGGCAGCGATTATAGCCTCAAGTCTACTTGGGTATGACGCTACAAGCTTGGCACACCTGTACTTGGGGAGTTACTCCCATTCTTCTCTGCAGATCCTCTCAAGCGCTGTCAGGTTGGATGGGGAGCATCACTGCACAGTTATTTTCAGGTCTCTCCAGAGATGTTAGATCGGGTTCAAGTCCAGGCTCTGGCTGGGCCACTCAAGGACATTCAGAGACTTGTCCCAAAGCCACTCCTGCGTTGTCTTGGCTGTGTGCTTAGGGTCGTTGTCCTGTTGGAAATTGAACCTTCGCCCCAGTCTGAGGTCCTTAGCGCTCTGGAGCAGGTTTTCATCAAGGATCTTTCTGTACTTTGCTCCGTTTATCTTTCCCTCGATCCTGACTAGTTTTCCACTCCCTGCCGCTGAAAAACATCCCCACAGCATGATGCTGCCACAACTATGCTTCACCGTAGCGATGGTGCCAGGTGTCTTCCAGACGTGATGCTTGGCATTCAGGCCAAAGAGTTCTATCTTGGTTTCATCAGACCAGAGAATCTTGATTCTCATGGTCTGAGTCTTTAGGTGCCTTTTGGTTAACTCCAAGCGGGCTGTCATGTGCCTTTTACTGAGGAGTGGCTTCCGTCTGCCCACTCTACCATAAAGGCCTGATTGGTGGAGTGCTGCAGAGATGGTTGTCCTTCTGGAAGTTTCTCTCATCTCCACAGAGGAACTCTGGAGCTCTATCAGAGTGACCATCGGGTTCTTGGTCACCAACCTGACCAAGGCCCTTCTCCTGCGATTGCTCAGTTAGGCCGGGCGGCCAGCTCTAGGAAGTGTCTTGGTGGTTCCAAACTTCTTCTATTTTAGAATGATGGACTTTTTCTCCCCAATTTCGTGATATCCAATTGGTAGTTACGGTCTTGTCCCATCGCTGCAACTACCGTATGGACTCGGGAGAGGAGAAGGTCGAGAGCCAATGCATCCTCCGAAACAATCCTGTCTCGGAGCTCTACGGACAATTCCTTTGACCTTATGGCTTGGTTTTTGCTCTGATATGCACTGTCATTTGTGGGACCTTTCCAAATCATGGCCAATTAATTGAATTTACCACAGGTGGACTCCAATCAATTTATAGAAACATCTCAAGGATGATCAATGGAAACAGGATGCACCTGAGCTCAATTTCGAGTCTCATAGCAAAGGGTCTGAATACTTACGTAAATAAGGCATTTCTGTTTTAAATTTTGTTTAAATGTCCTAAAAACCTGTTTTTGCTTTGTCATTATGGGGTATTGTGTGTAGATTGATGAGGAAATAAAGCAACTTAATCAATTTTAGTATAAGGCTGTAACGTAACAAAATGTGGAAAAAGTCAAGGGGTCTGAATACTTTCCAATGCACTGTAGACATCAGTGGAGGCTGCTGAGGGGAAGACGGCTCATAATAATGTCTGGAATGGAGCGAATGAATTGGCATCAAACACATGGAAATCATGTGTTTGATGTGTTTGATACCATTCCACCGATTCCGCTCCAGCCATTACCATGAGCCCGTCCTCCCCAATTAAGGTGCCACCAACCTCCTGTGGTAGATATTAGACTTCGAAGTTTCTGTTATCTTAGGTTGCATGCACCTCTTTTATCTTTTCCGCTGCCTTTTCTTACTCCAGCCTCGATAATAATTGATCCATGTTGATTGATTATTTGCAGGGCAAAATAATATCTGTCAAGGGAGACAGAGGTGAGAAGGTAAGGTCATGGTTTTGACAGTAAAACTCCTCCCGTCACAATAATAATAACAATAACATCATATTCTAACCCTCTACAACCAAAGATGTCTGTCTCTATCACACACATTTAACAAAGACAGAATTACATCTCCTAAAGTGCAGTAGCACTGTAGAAAAACTATGATTTTTTTTCCGGAATACCACACCATTCTTTGGGAGTAGGACAATGGCCGTACATGTCATAGTGAGAATTACAGGATTGTTGTTCCACAGAGGAAGTGTAGCACAGAGGACAAGGACAGACACATTTCATTTGAATGCATTCAATTGAAATACAACTGACTAGGTATCCCCCTTTCCCTTTCCCATGCAGACGCCCACCTGCTCCGTTAGAAACACACAATTTGGTTCTGTTAAACACAAACACACACACACACACACACACACACACACACACACACACACACACACACACACACACACACACACACACTGGGTTCGCCCTGCGTGGCATTGCCAGCTAGGAGCTATAGGGTATAATTTCCCCCTCAGCCCAGACTAGGCCAGGCATGTAGCATACAGCCAGTTCAGACCACACTAAATCTGGGTTCAAATAGGATGTCTTTTTTAATAGTTTTGTTTGCTTGAATGAGCTTGCCTGTTAGATAGTCCCAAAACCACACCAATCCGGCACTCTAGCCAGGGAAGGGAAAGGGGATACCAAGTCAGTTGCACAACTGAATGCATTCAACCAAACTGTGTCTTCCGCATTTGCCCAATCCCTCTGAATCAGAGACGCTCAATCAAGCACTCAATGTATTTTAAATATGTTAAATACTATGTGAACCCAGGTCTAGTGCTGACAGCTGCACCTGTAGCGAGTGTGCTGTCATTTCAACATGCAGGCGACATGTAGGCAGTGTAACTTCCTGCTTTGATATCCACAGTGTTAGGAAATATTAGCTTACGACATCAAGGTCAGGTTAACAGTCTCAACGTCATGGGCTCACTCCAGCCATCTTGATTCACAACACAAGCAGCCACCCTTAGCTACAAAAAGATGCATGCCTGAATCCTGGCAATTTATTCATTTGCGGACATGACGTGGTGGTGGAATTTCCAGGGCTAGTTGGAGAAGAAGTGCAACACCCACCTACTGTCTGAGGAGTTTACTGTTTTAAGGGCATTTCTGCTTAAATACTATCTATTTTTCTATCTCTGTCTGCAAAACCCATTGAAATAGAATAACTATTCTATTTCATTCTATTTCTGGAAAATCCATGTTTCTACTATAGGGTTTTTACAATTCTGTTTGTGTCAACTTTGCAAACAGAATGCAAAACTTGACGTTAGTTAGTTAGTTAGTACACCCACAGGTGTGGTCAGAATGGACATGCTGGCACATTGACTTGTAAGTGGTCAAAGTTAATTCATCATGCTCTGCTTGCTACTATAGTAAATACATCCTCAACAGTCTAGACTAGACGATCGTACAAAAGCAATTTAAAGTATTTTGTGTATAATGTCCTTTCATTATAGGCCACCATTGGTTGTATGAAGATATTTGTTGCAATACTGCTCTCTTTTGATGAAGAAGTGACGTGCGTCAAAGTGATACAAGCTCTGAGAGTAATGAAAGGGTAGCAGTTTGACTTGT